GGACAGATGCTACAACCGTGCCACCCACTCACACCGCAAACAAACTCCGGTTAACCCAGACACACAACAGGCTTTTTGGCCTATGCCATATCATGTCTAATCCGTACCCGTACTTACCTACTTATGACAGGTGGTACACCCCATCTGTACCCGATCTCTGGTACCACAGACTCACTCAGATACACAACAGGCTTATTTGTCCATGCCATATCATGTCTAGTCCGTTCCCGTACTTACCTACTTATGACTACCCGTGCTTACCTACTTATGACAGGTGGTACACCCCATCTGTACCCGATCTCTGGTACCACAGACTCACTCAGATACACAACAGGCTTATTTGTCCATGCCATATCATGTCTAGTCCGTTCCCGTACTTACCTACTTATGACTACCCGTGCTTACCTACTTATGACAGGTGGTACACCCCATCTGTATCCGAACTCTGGCGGCGCAACAGACCCCCACCGTAACCGCTCGCTTACCAACCCAGACGCGCAACAGGCACTCAACAACGCGAATGTGAGTGTGCTCAACAACTCAGCCACAGAGTCCCGTGCTAATAACAGCGGTGGTAATAACGACGGTAGCGACAACACCGGCCAAACCCACACCCAGACCTCGCCGTACAGCATGGAGCTGCTCACGGAGGTTGCTAAGCAACGGCTGATCACCGAAGGCCTGCACGCGTCAACACACGGCCGCATCTCGCCCTCTGTGAGGGAGGCGCACGCGCATGAGAGCGGCGCAGACGCTGACCCTGACGCAGTCTTCAGTAGTGCGTTTGTGGTGTCTGGTAGGTAGGCTGTAGAGTGGTAGTCACTGTACACGTGGGTTTAATGGTGTTGTGGTTTTTGAAGATTAGTCACTGTGGAGTTGGGTTCAATGTTGCTATATTATTTGGTATGTATTGTGGTTTTTAGAAACAGTGGAGTTGGGTTCAATGTTACTACATTATTTGGTTCCAACAAATGTTTACGAATGGTTTAATTATTAAACCATCCTCGAACGAACGTTTACGGATGGTTTAACTATCAAATCATCCTCGAACGAACGTTTACCAGTCTCCTTTGGCCTTCTTTCGTCTCACTGACTCTCACTGTCTGTCTATGCACCCAGTTCCCACTGTACCGGTCACACCGCCCATTCCCTTGAGCCCCGATGTGCACCCCGCTTCGATCCTAGAGGGCCAGGACAGCCCTCGTTTGTTGGCCCTGCCTAGCACTCTGGTCAGTGCTAGTACGACAGGGGAGGGTGCGGGTGGCACGGGTCTTTCACTACACAGCTCAGCACCAAAGCAACGCGCACGCGCACAGACCGCAGCAGCCAGACTAGGCCACAAACTACCCGGAGCACAAACGGGTGCACCCCACACCTCACACTCAGAGCGAGACACGCACGCACACACAACACAGGCACCTTGCCATGCACACACACAGGCACACACACACACACGCGCGCACGGCCGCACACAAGCAACCCCGAGGATACACGCCGTCCCATCGGATCACGCAGACGCACGAGATGGGGCGAAGACACAGGCAGAGCACCCCAGCACGCAGACGGAGTACCGCAGCAAACCATCAGACGACCACAGTAAGCAAGCTAGTACCAGCGCAAACGCCAGTGAGGACGAGTGGGCCATTGTGTCGGCTGTGACGCCCACGCCTACCTCAACGCCTAGTGATGCGAGGCTACATGGTAGGTGAGAGTGTGTAGAGGTGTGTGCCTATTGATGGGAGGCTACATGGTAGGTGTGAGTGTGGGGAGATGTGCGTATTTATTTACTACATTTATAGGATTTTGTGGGATTGGTGCGAGTGTGTGGAGATGTACGCATATTTGCTACGTATGTGGTCTTTCGTAAGGTAGTTGTGTGCTCGGTGGATTGCGCACCCATGTACCAGTGAATGTAAGCGTGCTTGTGTGGAAAATGGTGTAGATTTGGTATGCGCGTATGTGGATCTGACATATGTCAGTGCCGAGGTGTGCGTGTCTGGCGGAAAAACAACTGCACTAGCCGCCGCTGATACTATATGGAACGTCGGGTTGTCTATTCTTTATATGTATGTAGTATATATATGCTTATTAGTATACGGAAGCGTAACACCAACACCCCACACACACACAGCACTTGTGCACTGTCACCCCAACTTCCAGTATACACATTCTCATCTACAGTTCCCCTATCTTTCTCCCGTTAAACACCAGGGTCATCCTCTAACGCACCCACGCCCATCCCACAACCACTGGTAGCACCCACGTCACTGTTCTATCCTCCGCTATTGTCGTACGAAGCCACCAGCACAGCCGCCATGTCACCTGCCATGTCCCCCGGATTCTGGGACTCGCACAGTGACCTCAAACTAGCCTCTCGCGATAGGTGAGTGTGATATATCATGTATATATATATTATGTATATATATATATATATATATATATATATATATACGTATATATATATATATATATATATATATATATATATATATAT